ATACACTTGTTGCATCTAACTCAATTCCAATGATAAGAAAAAAATAAAGCATTATTGATATTAAAAAACGATTAATTTAAAAAACATCAAAATAAAAAGTACAGATAAAATGATTGATCAATGATGTAAAAATATTGGAGAAAGTAAATAAATAAATTTCAATATGATATACATATATTATTTTAGTTACATTTTTAATATCAATATTTTTCACAAGTTTGAAATTAAATTTGTTTAACCATATGTTCAGTTTATTACTATGAACAAATATTATTTCAACAGAATTATTTTCAATAATAAAAATACATTTAAAACATTATTATAAAGATAAGTTTTCTGTTTACTTCTCAACCCGCCCATCCGATCTAACGATTAAATGTATGCAAGTCTGCATATGCCCAATTGGAATAAATATGAACTGAATCGTCCTCCGAGAAATGGGTTACAGTTTAATCTTATAGTTTACTTTTCGATTTGTCAAACGCTTGAGCAAAAATAATCGATGCTTTGTTGTATTAGATATATTCACGTGAAACATAAAAATTTTTATAGAACAATGATGTATGTTTCGATTGAACGTACTATCTTAAAACTTGAGGATAGTAAATTAAGTGATTTCTACAGCCACCGCTCTTCTATCTAAGTGCTAAGAATTGGTAAGAATATAGGCAACAATATTGCATAGATAATCGATAACTTTGCATATAAAACATACATTTCTGAACCAAAGAGAGAGTAAGTTCGATGAATAAATTAAACAACGCGGAATCGACCAGTTAAAATCAGCGGCGCTATCGATCAATGATCGCAACAGCTTTGCAGTGAAGACAATGAATAAATTACGGGATGATATCCTACAATCAGCAGCATCTATTAATGTAGACACTAAAACCCATCGGATCAATCAGTCCGTTATATATAGCGGCCATTCGCAAAAAAAAACACGTTATAGCATTTTTATTTTTGAATCCCAAAATATAAACAAGATAAGTACTCGTTAAGATTAATATCTATAAAAAAATTTATTTTTTACATTAGCAAATTATCTCATGCAATATATAAAATTATATTGTATAAAAAATTATATATATACGTATTGAATTATAATTGATATCAGATTTTTTATGTTCATTTATAATTGTGTGTTATACTTCTTCTTTTTTCCATCTTTTATTTTTCACAATTATCGATTATCGCATGGATATCTTACTGTCATTGCATAAATCTTAATAAGAGCCATGTATAAGCTTCGGAATATAAATATATAGTATTTCTTACTCTTTCTTTTACTTCTTCTCTGTCATTTCGCTATATCAAGCAGATCTTACAGATATATTCGTTCACAGATAAAAGGTGCGGATGGAAAGTTGCGGGTGGTCTTTTCACGCTCATCATTCTGGCTGTCGATGACAACCGGTCGTTGGCCGGTCGGATAATTAAAGACCTACCTGCGAGCGCCGGAAGGGGGAAAGGGGACGTGCTAAATTACCGGGGCACGGTGTCTAGGGATGATGCCATGCGAAGGCACCCTGAGGCGATGCGACGGGCCTCGTCGATGCGACGTCATAGCTGGTGGCAATGAAACGGAAAACACGCATCGGCGTATCGAGAGTCACGGCCGGTTATTCGTTTTATAAGCGCGTATCACATATTGGCGACGTTAAACGACCGACGCCAAACGCGAGACGTAAGCGATGAGAGAGAAGGACAGAAGAAACTTGTCTCACCGTTATTTACGGTGGATCACTCGTGGATTTTGCATAAACAGAGCGAGAAAGAGAGAGATTAGGGTGTCCCGACGACGAGAATTCCTTCCCTAGAATCCCGCCTAATTCCTGTTTATATGACATCGGGGCGCGGTCGAGCGCGACATGAAAAGGGAGTTGGAGAGAATCTAATTTTCTTAGGGCGATTTATAAGTGACACTCGCGTAACAAGTAACCCGTATCTATTATTTATTCAATTGTCTAATTTTTGATCGAGATTAATTATTGCATTAATTTCGAAAATTATCGCTGACATTTTTTCGATGCATCTTTCGCTCACGCGTTTTATGAAATTGCATTAATTCACATTAATATAATCACATAAATGTTCATATAGCGCTTTATATGTCGCTAAATATCGAAAAGTATTCCATGCGATATACATGAATAAAAACTCGATGCATTCGAGTACGCTTTCCCTACAACAGACTTAATCAAACGTATATCGATCGATGGAGAATTAATTCAATTTTATGGCTGATTCGTTTGTCATATTCGAAGAAATGGAGTCTCTAGCATACGGAGCAAAGTTTTATCAGCATAGACAAAAACAGAAGGTTCACCGCGAATATAGAGTAGGTAGTCTGCATGTCTGTATTCTCGAAGCTCACAAGCGATTGCGAGACGCCGTCATTTCACCAGAGATAGTACCTAAAATGCGAGCAACAAATCAACACCGCCGAGCACGCCTCTCTTCCCCTAACCCGAGATCATAACCTCATGAATAATACGATGAAGTCGCGATACCATCGAATCATCGGGTATAAGCGCCGTAGAAGTCGCAGGCGCGACGACGCGACGATGCTAATTAATCTAGCTCGGTAGTGGCTTTGCGGGACCAGCAAAGGATTTATTGCTTATCCGCGAAGTTGAATCAGCGAATTGAATTGCTTTGTTTGTGAACTGTCAATTGATTTCGACATGATGATCGCGTATTCATTATTAAAACGACGTTGCCGCCAAAGTTATGTTCGTAGCACTACGCTGATAAAGTCGTTGTAGTTCTATCGAAATCACTCAATGTATTGTTGAAAATCTATTACACAATTATACGATGGTGACAACGAGCACAAGTCATCACAAGTTTGCATCTCGTCATCATTGTTAAGACCCCGAGAATTAATTGTCCTCGAAAGATATATGACTTTCTTGATAATAAGCAAGTAGCTGGTAGCTATTCGCACGTCCTACGAGCTCGCGCTCACGTGGGCCGGCCATTTGTAGATTTTATAATTTATATGATTTTCGAGAGCAATCCACTGATCAAGCATTGCACCAATAATGCATATCCATAAATATATGATAATTATATCAAGCATATATAAAAGAACTGTTAAGTATTTTCTATCATAGCGCTACATTAAACAACTTTAAAGAAGATAAGAATTTTTAAGATCGATTTTCATAATATCTTATACATATCCTTCTCATTTTCTTTTTTTTATATAAGATACATACACGAGGAATTGCTTAAAATATCTTTTTCATTCAAACATATAACATGATTGCTTAAAATATCTTCATTCAAACATATAATATATTCATGATACGTATAAGATATAATTAATTCATATTATAATGCATATTATTGAATCAATTTCTCCATATTGTAATGTATATTAAATAAACATATTTTCTTCGATAGTTTCTGCTCAATCAATTATCAATCTGTATCGTATTCATTGAATGCTCGTAAAGAAACTATCTTTGAAGCAAAGGCACGGTTTGTTGCGCATCTTGGTGTTCTTTAACGGGAGATTGCTCTTTGGCAATGCTTTCGTATATAATCCCGACATCACCGCCAACATCATCGGTATCTCTTCCATGCTATACACGTGCGATCCCACCTCGCTTCCCATTTCGGCGTTACACGTCAGAGCTCCTTTGCGCGTGGGATGCCGATGGGCTCGATTTCAGTCGAGCGAACTCAATGAGGAGAGATACAATCCACTGGAGAGTGCCGGAGTATCTCGGGACCGCTTGCGAAATCGGAACGAATACCTCCGCGAGAACGAGACGAGAACGAGACGGGAGTACGAAGGGGGACGGTGGATCGAAAGGATTAAGAATGAACGTAACGATAAATTTATCACTGTCTGAGGAAGAAAGGAATAGCCGACGTTGCATACATATTAGAGTATCGGATCGGGAATGGAAACGCCTGTCACGTAAGATAGACGCGATTTTGCGATATCATGCTTCGTGTCTTTTCTTCATGCTCTACCCCAATCTCGATCCGCCGATTAAATGTACAGGATGTAAGAACAAAATTGAATACGAAGCGAAATAATTTCGTAAAAGGTAGACAGTAACATGAAAAAGAGATGACACAACAAAAAAGTAGGTATCTTTTTACAGATGATTTAAAATATTTTTTTATAGACATCAATTATCCATATTACATACTTTTTATCTTCCTATTTCATTAATTCCCGTGTTAGATCGATTTTTACTGGAAAAAAAAAATTAATCCGGGCATTTTTCTTCCGAAAACTGCAAAGTTGGATTTGTGAGCCGATGGTGAAATTAATTTCACTGAGATCTCTATCTTTCACAACCGCGTGCTCCGGCTGCTGCACTTTTTTCTTTATCGTCGGCGTCTGGAAAAAGTATTACCGGCAGTATCGGCTTAATGGTTCCGTCGAGAGGATAAAACGGTATATCGTGCAATTAATCCGAAAGGATCGGCGGAGCGTGTCATAAGCGCTCGTAAACCCAGGAAGCATTTTCTCGCGTGTCTTCTGACGTAAGAACGAAGCACTAATAAAAAGATATGAAAGGAAATTGCGCTGTAAGGCCACTAGTCAAAATGATTGATCTTGACAAACGCCGAAATCGAAGCGTAACGCAAGTTTCTCTATTCGAGTAACCTGAAAAGACACTCATGAATGATGCAGAATATAAGCCATTCAATAAATTCCATTATAATTCCATTTCTCCTCGTTCGCTGAAGAGATCAGCATATTTTCATCCATTTCGTGCAGTCCATTCCGGACTAGTCCGGAGAGTTATGGATTCGAGAACAAGAACGTACCACTTCATAGGCTCTCGTAAAATCAGGAAGAATCCTCTCGGAGGCGCGCGCGAGAAGAGTCGCGAAATGGAGAAGGAGCTCGCTAGAACGAGCGAGAGAAGTAGAGGGAGATGGCAAGGCGGACGGAAGGCGACCGAAGGAGAGAGGCGTACAGAAAACGGGTCCACGGCTGGGTGGAGGAACTAGTCTCACCTAGTAGATCGCCCTGTCGCGGTGTGTGCTTTCGCGGGCGGCCGACAGACGCGAACGAGAGTAGGAGGAGGGAACGTGAGTTCCCTTCTACGCAACGCGAGAGAGAGAAGGCGGAAAAAAAGAGAGGCGAGAGAGCACGCACACGTACGCACGAGGATACACACGGTCACGAATGCGTGTTCACGTATATACGCATGATCGTTGCACATATGTGTGAGCACCAGGAGGAAACGCACGTACGTGCAGAAGAAGTCGAGAAAGAGAAAAAGAGAGAGAGAGAGAACAACTGGGGGAGAGACAGAGATGAAGTGAGAAAGAGAGAAGCGAGGGAGGCAGAGAGACGGACCGTGTGTATGTACCACCAGAAGAGTGTACCAGGCTACTAGTGTTGTGACGGCGATCGTGCCCACGACTTCTCCGGCGGGCCGGCATTCGCGTTCTATTCGTCTATCTTCCTCTTCGTCGTGACCTCCCCGATCTTCGGCGTCACGTCGAGCTCCCTTCTTACCCTCTGAAGGCCTCCTGGTGTCTTCTTCCTCGTTGAGAACAATTCCTCCTACTCTACTCTCAATATCTTTCCTTCTCTTTATCGTAGAGACTCCTTTCTGTCTCCTTTCTTTCCTTTCCCTCCTTCAGCCTCAGTACGATTTTGCGACACGCGCCTTTACTTCCGGCCGAAAAGTGAAGGCTCGGAAGCGAGCCAGTGCACTTTGCCGCGGCTGAAGGTATACCAGAGGTGTCGTCGTAAAGTGCGCGCGTGATCAAGCTTGGTGTCCACGCGCGTACGAGTGCAGGTGCTCCGGAAACACACGCCACGTGCTGCAGAAATGTCATCGCCGATGGGTATGTGACTTGCATCGTGATATGACGAGATTTCCATCATTTTTTACAAGCGGCAAATGTCAACAGCACGACGCGAAAGATATTTCGCAAATGACGTATTACATGGATCTTACGACTTTGGCTAACGAGCCGAGTTACAACGTAGCCACGTGTTCGCGCTGCATCCGCCTCGCGTGTGGAATTCCTAAGTTTATCTCCGCGATTTGTGTCATATCCAGAACGCGTACTAGATTGTCGATGCAGAAAAGCGAGTCGCCGATAAAGGTGCTAGATCACGTCACACTGCCGCCTTCGAGGTTTCAAATTAAAATGGTCGTATATGTGTGTGTGTGCGCTGTTTTTTTATAGTCGCTGCGTATTTTTGTTAACTTAATTTTATTGATTGATTTATAAAAAAGAAATGAATATATATTTTTTTACTTTCAAAATATACTTGATTAATGATATCTCTTCTTTCATCAAATGCAAATTAATGATATTGTCATCTCAAATGAATGAGTAAAATTCGTCTCGTAAAAGTCATGACAATAAATGACAAAAATGATTTATTTTCTTTTTCTCTTCTACATTAAAAGATAATACGATAACAATAAACCACACACGCATTACAGATGGTTTAAGCAAATCCATTCAAAGAGTAACAAATTCCTAAATTTATTTTTTTACGTGATTGCATAATTTGTTATGCAGAAAAATGTCAGTGTCATCAATGGCTTTGTTTATCTTGCGCCAGATGAAAGAATAAGAATTGTGTATCACCGTAAACAGCAAATCTTTTTTTGATAGATAAAGAGTTATTTCTTCCGGTTGCGAATTTCATTGTGATGCACGAAAAAATAACGCTTTCCATAAATCTCGAAGAAATTACGTAAATGACATTCATCTTAAATCACATTTACACGTCTACTCGTAATAAACGGCTGCAAATTTTCCGACGGAAATTTCGCGTAACGTGAATTACATTCTTCTGACAACGAGTCTTTTATTAGACGTTTCAAGTAAATTGCTAATTTATTTACAACATGTACAAGCATTTTCAATTTACGCGAAATGTGTAGAATACACTGATGTTATTGTGCACGCGTTTCAACCGTCCTAATCTTTGTAATTCGTAAAATTTTATCAGCTCTAATATCTCAAAGTCCTCCTGATCGTATTTCATAAAATAATAGATATTAATAAAATTGTGTATAAAATCACCGGAAATTAATCGCATATATCGATTCTTCGCTCGATTATCGTTGAAAAAATCGACGTTCAAACGATTCCATATATTGTTTCGTATTATGAACAATATATGGAAATCGTTCACTTTACGTCCTTCGACCAACTTCCATTTTTCATCGAATTAATAATTTTCCACGAATGACAAAGATGTTTAGATTCTCGTATCGGTAGCAGTTACCCGCGAGCCGCCCGACTTGTTTTTCTGCGCTACAGAAAGCATCGCCCGAGGAAATGTATCGGGCGTTCCGGATCATCTGCGATTTTACATTGACATGTACGCTTAATGGAGCGAATATCGTATATTCATCGAACGCGACACGCCCGCGCGCCGGATAATCATGCAATCTTAATTGGTCATAACTACAAATCATATAGCAGTGTTCTCAACAGTAAACAGCAGGAAAATAAGATTAAATTTGGCGATTGCCAAAAATTAGTAATTTTTTCACATGTAATAAAATTTCCGAAAAATCATCACTATTCTTAAATAAATTCCCGAGATTTTAAAGTCGTAGATGCAGCCGCTCAAGATCAAATTTACCTCCCATATGTGTAATTCGCAATCATTCAGCTTTGGCGCGGGAGAGCGCATTAATTAATCAAAATAGGTCAGCATTATTTGCTGAATGAAAACCCGCTATTTGCACATCGTATACCTTTCTTATAATGCCGGATGCAGAAAAATGGTCTTACTCTTACGTCATTATGTTGTTACACGTATCACGATAATGATAACCCGACAACGGCGGTACGTCAGCGCGTTCAAGGAGTTGCATATCAAATCGAAAGTCAACAAATTATGCTGCAGTTAATGAGAGACTTGTTTCGACTTCGAAGAAAGCCACGTAATTATTAAATCGTTAAGGAGGGCCGTACACAGACAGATACATCGCTTCTCGCGATCTCGCATGTGAGGATAATTTTCTGATGTTCAAATTATCGTTAACACCGAGTTCGATAGTTGGTCGCATCAATGATAATAGCAACAATCGTTTGTATTTCTGGGTGATCAGAATAAAACTTTGCATTTTTAACAGCGTTAAACAATATAAACAATGCATTGACAAATTATTTTAAAAGAAAGTTTAGCATATTTAATCGCAATTATCTTCTAAAAATTATTACTTAATCATTAAATTTTACTTATAAATTATTTGCAATGAAACAAATTTCAACAAATTCAATATTTTTATACTTAAAATGAATGTTGTATATAGTTTTTCATAAATTAATATTAATCGTATTTTATAAATATTATCTAATATATAAAAATTAGGTATGTTCGAGGATTACAAAGGAAACTTTAATAATAATATTACTTTGCTTAATCTAACAAAGCTTATAGGAGATCTAACAAAAAGCTTTTTATATATGCTTTTATTCTATAAACTTCTGATAATTAAAATATTTAAACACATTTTTATCATTGCTATACAAACGAATAAAAGAAATGAACCATATTCTTTATGTAAATAAATGTAAGTAATTCATAACGTTGAAAAACGTTGAAAAAGTAACGCGAATAAATGTAATAATTCTATTTTATTTAATTACTTAAACTATACAAGACGCGCGCGCAAGTATTATAAAAATTTCTAGCACATTTCGCGTTTAAATAAACTAATATAAAGTTATTGCACTATAAATTTTTCCTATTTTCTCCATTTTCACCTTGGTCATTGCAGTTATACTCTTAATTAAGAATTACATGCGTATTAATTTTAGTTTAATATTTATACTGTTATAATTATATTGTTTATCATTCAAGTACATTTCTCATTTGTGATTTATATGAAAATAATTTTATTTTATAAACTTCTGTTTAAATTAATATAAAAATTTCTCATTAAAATATTTCAAAACTTACTTCTAAAGTCAACAAAATAAAAATTTTTAATGAATCATATTTTTTATTATTCTATTTAAAAGATTCCGACGTAAAAATTTCGTAGTAAAATCCTCTGTACATAATATAAATTACTAAATTATTATAAAAAAGGAGTTAGTTATTATTAGTTAGTTATTATTAATTAATTATTATTAGTTAGTATTATTTCATTAAAAGAGTCTTTAATATTTTAATAGATCTCTCTTTCTTATTTTTGCAATTTCTAAGAAAGAGAGAAAGAGAGGGAGAGTGTGTGTGTGTGTGTGTAATCTTATTTTCTTAAAAATATGCTGACATCATCACCACTCGCATAATAATAATACCAATGAATAAACATGATGAATTTTAAGAGAAAAGAATATAAAATATAATTTTTTTATATTATTTCAATCTATCATTTAGCGAATAATGAATATATCCTAGTATTCGGCATTTTACTTTTATGTTTACATAAAAAAATCAACATAAATATTTATTTATAAATATCGACAATACATTCTCTCTCTCTTTTTTTTCTTTCTCTTTCTCTTTCCTTCTCTTTTTCTTTCTCTCTGCTAATAATCTTGCGATCAATACTTTATTAGAACTTATAATGACATATAAATCTAATAAAAGAGTGAATCTCTCTCTCGTTCGTTTACACTCGCGTGAAATCACTAGACCGCAGAATTATATGCATATAATATTACATGTATGCATATGCACATAAATATTATATGTATTTTTATTTTGCAAATACAAGTAAAATATCGCAATGCAAAGCATACACAGACACACACACACACACACACACACACACACACACACACACACACACACGCAACATATATATGGCTGCTTAATTTATCAGAGATGCACGATAAAAATTATAAAAAAATACATTACAAACTTGATCATTTGAAACATGTAGATGTAGTTTTTTTATGTTTGATATTTACAAAAGAGAAAGAACGAATAAAAAATATTTTTTCTCAAATAATCAAATGGATTATATGACAATTTTATTATTATTTACCGCAGTAGTAACAATTTACTTATTTTTTCGTTTTTCCTTTTCGCGAATTTCGATATTTCCACGCATATATATCAATAATGACCGGAAATGGATTTCCTGTGATTGTTATTTTACTTTTTTGATTGTAAATTTTCCTCTTTTTTTCTACGAGGTAATAAATATTTATTCAAGACACAGCGCAAAATCGCCCACCTTCGAATATCAATTAGAGACATATATTCCGAGTTGGGCGCAGAATGTATGCTTATTCGCCATAGATTCTCACCATTCTCTGTGGCATTCGTGCCATTAATTTAACATTGGTGTCCTCATCTTATGTGATATTTTACAGGCGTGACAACTCAATCGAAACGACACGAGATACTTTAAAACATACACCGCACTTGTTAATATTCCACAGTTGTACTATAAGTGTTTACGTCTGTTACTAACACGGCATACAATCATCAAGTACATGCTTATAATTTATGCGCCGCAACATTCGCACTTGCTTTGAAAATAAGGGCAAATTCCCAACAGCTTTAATTAATTTTAAATATCGCGTGATGCTAAATTTTAAAATATAGGTTAACATTATAACATTGTTTATAATGTCTTGTTTTTGATTCTCATCATAATATTGTGCTTTTATTTCTAGGACAACTTTATTTCTGTTACAATGTTGTTGCGTGTACTAATTTAAAATAACATGAAACTTTATATAAATTTTACTTTTCATAGCAAAAAATATTATGATAAAAAACATAAATATCAAAATTAATTATATTCATGAATCTTTTTATGAATTCTTTGTTAAAATAAATTTGATCTGACTTTTATAATTTTCTTTTCAACGACTAGATTGTTAAAACACGTGTCCTTATCTCATTCAATGGATCAGAAAAAAAATGCATCGACAAATATTCACATTGATATATGTCCATTCCCGTGCTCGTACATGCGAAGTCTATTTGCGTTCGAATTGACAGATATTCCCGCGAGACTAATTACCAATTCCGCATCGCATTAATGAACTTGCTTTGGCTTTCCCCCACCCAATATATTATCTTAGCTGCAAATCTTTCACAGAACATCTAGTTTGATTTTAATGTGGAAGTGTCTTTTGAAAGGAACACAAATTACTCGTGTGGATTAAATAATTTATGTGACGCAGTATCACCACATTCATGCATTTTATCAAATATATTATAAAATCCGAATTTTACAGTTGATATTAATTAACCAGTTATTAAAAATCTATACTACAAATTATGAGTTGTCCTTGTCGCTGAAGTTATACCTGCATGAATGCAAATCTTGACGTTCTCCTCATGTAGTCAAGATTATGATAACTATTTTTAACGGCTTAGCATTAAATAAAATTTTTAATAAGCATCCATCAACATCCTCATCATTTAGATTGGATTTTTTCGATGAAACTTAATTCTATTGTCTGCGAGAAATATAAAAAATATAATATCTCAAATCGAACTCTGGCTTTAACACGGATAAAAGAATTCAGTGGTTTGTTGGGTTCGATCGCTGGCATGGTTGAACGAATTCCAATTATCGTAACTATGAAGCGTCACCACAAAACGACCCTGAAGCTTAGTAGCTAACGTACCCAAGAAAATCGAAAAACATTATTATATACGAGAATAAGTCTCACGTATAAAAAAATATGAGGCAAAATTGATTCTTATTCTTTCTTTCGTAAAATTTTTTGTTTAGAACAGGAGATAAAAAATAAAGAAATATCTTACTTGTTTTATTCTAGTAGAAAGAATGTGCAATAAAATTCTCATTTCACCCCTCGTTCGACCTATAAGATTTTTCTGCCGGATTACGATTAAAGAGAGTTTAATTAAGTACTTTTTTATGAATTATCTTCCTATGATTTGCGCGCGCACGTAGCCGGAACATCCGTTAAACTCAACAAAGCTTTAATTTGTAATTTAAATCGCGGAAGTAACCCATTTGCTATGTAATGAGAAAATTTAATGAGAAATTCATACTGCGGTCATATGTGCGTGTTTCAGAATAAAGGAGAACATCGGCAGACATCAAGAAGATCGCGTTTCATTTTAACAAGAAATACGTCCAATTCAGCGCCAATCATGCGGTATCTATTATCCATGCTCCAAGTTTTAATCATCGTGGTGCAACAGAATCCCGAAGCCCGACAACGTGTACCTAATGTCAGAGGTGAGTTTTATATTAGTTATATATCTTTATTGTCATATTAATACTTTGTCATATTATGTGATTTAGCGGTAATATTGTAGCCTTGTTTAATGATTTTGATTTAACAGTATAGAAAAATAATACCGAGCTTGATATTTATTATCTGATATCGAGACTTTTCAATCTTAAAAAGAAATTCAATTTTTCGAAACCGAAAGAGATGACGATTCCGTCAAACAAATTCGATTCACGTGCAGGCTCACGTCCACTTTCTCGAGTTTCTCGAGAAAGACTCGCATGAAAAGAGCCCGCGGCGGGTTCTCGAGCAGAAGCCTTACCTTTGCGGGACGCGATCCTATTAAGAGTAAGAGCGAGTCGTACAATATAAGCGCGATGCTGGATTTTGCAAGCGACAAAGCAAAGAAGGAAGAAATGGAATAGCAGAAAGAATCGGACGCGCAATTCCTTCGAGTGACCAGCAGGATGTGCCGTAAAATGCTAATTCGCGACTTATTTATACGTCGGGACATCTTAATGGCTGTTAAAGGCTCATGCTGATTTTTAATTATGTCAATAAATATACTTCGAGCGTGTGTTGTGCAGTAGTAGCTTAGGCCGTTATGCGGCTCCATAAATTGATCATCATTCAGTAATGCTCGCGATACGACATGAATATTGTACCCGGTTTTGACGTCGCTACGCGATTTCGCTGATCTTATCGGAAAATATCGGCCAAACGCAAAGCTATCGGCTGGCATACAGCCAATCGACATAACTTTTAGCGCTGCTTCTGACGTGTTGTACCGTGCAAGAAATGCTGATTCCGCGAAGCTGCAACGTCGATGTTCGCAAAGTCTGCTAGTCTTAAGGCAATTCAACACTGTTAAATGTATATCAATATAGCTGATAAATTCAGATTTCGAATGCAGTTTACATTAATAAAAATACACTTACCAATATATTTATTCACGATAAAAGCGCAATTGCTATAAAATAAATTTTTTCATATCCAAATGAAAGATCGAATATATTAAAACACCAAGGACTGCAACTCGAAATTTATGGTCTTTGTCATAGTGTGGAATATCTTAAGCGCCATTTACGCGATCCACTTACGTCGAATCGTTTGTCAACCGTGTATCCAGAAGCACGACATGTCGGAGTGATGGATGCGTTCTTTCTTTCCTGGGTTCCTGTCGTTTTGAACGTACGTTCGGCTGATAGACGAAATACCCTGTGAGCTACTTCGTTAACATTGAACGCTTTCTCGGAGACAAAAGTCCTCCGACATAGTGACGCAAGAAGATGAATGTTTCGAGCAAAAAAATACACAAAAAAGATAGACGAAGTTGTTAAATACAAAAACGTCAGCGAGTTTCGAAAGACAATACCAAGAGAACAGAAATAGTCTCAGCTCAATGTCATACCGAGAAGTTGGCGTTGCAATGAAAATTTCAGGTCCTTTTCAATGTAAATCGCTGTCGTCGGTAGCTTCCCCTAATGAGGCCGGTCATTGGTAAATATTTATACGTTTGGGTGAGGAAAACAATGGGAGATGTCGAATTACATGACTAAGAAAGGAAAAGAGAAAGAGAGGGAAAGAAACGTGCCAGACGTGCCGTTTCGAAATTACCTTCTCGTTAGGGGGTAGTTATTATGATCAGGGAAAATTACACGCCACGCGCGCGGAGGACTTGTTTACTGAACACCATGGCCTGAAACTCTGGGCCGAGTAACTGACAAGGGTAATTTGTCCGGCTCGCAATAACCACCGGCGTCTCTCTTTGGTGATTGCGGAATTATTAACTCACCGGCGGTAACATAATGACGAGACATTAGTACGGTTTGCGCCTCATCGCGTCCATTACCTTTCTCTTTCTTTTTTCTTCTCTTTATCTCTTCTCAATTTGGGAATTAACCGTCACATCGGCATAAAAGGGAGAAATTATTATTCCATTTGTGATCGTTTTCAATGAAGTGAAAAGTCCTAGAATCGACAAGGGATAAATTTGTCGAGTCGAGATAAACTATCGGCCATATGTTGCTGCAATAAAGCGGGAAAGCGTTTCATTGTGAGCCGTACGGACGTAATCAACTTGAGAGCGCTCTTTCAAAGTATCCTGAATGCGTTTACCAATCCTATAAAGATCACTCTCGAAAATGACGTATGCCTTCGCCGCTTTTGTCTTTGTTTATACACGTCACGTTGTGGCCGCCGTATGCAATCAATTTTTCGATTGAAAACATTCGACCCTGCCTCTATCTCCGACTAGTATAGACTATTGTTTGAAATTGGTTTCCTCGGGATTGAATATGGAATCATAAAATCGTTTAGACACAGGCCGATTGGAATACATATAATTGTTCAGAGTAACCCAATTTAAATGTCAGCTACGCTCGTTACACAAATTCTAACACTTTTTATATCGAACAAACACGATACATGAATTTTCGTCGGATAAAAAAACAATGCAAAATAGCCTAGCGCAATATTCTGATAAAGCAAATTGGAAAATGACGTAAATAAATATATGCTCGAAAATTCGAAAATAAAATTCCGACTGTGTTTCGGTACGTAAATAAAACGCTCAGGACCAAGCAAAATATTATAATTCCGAAATATTCGACCATTAAGAAAATCACGTATGCTCTTTTTTTTATCTTCCGGTGGGAATCATGGACCTGCGATGGCGCCAAACGTTCGCAAAATCGACCATGAGGAGGAGAAGAACGTCTGAGTAAAACCAACACGACGAGGCGCCCATTCATAGCCTGAACACGTTGAAAAATCGTCCGCTCGTTCGCCGCATAAATGCGCACGGCTCGGCCGAACGGCGTGGGCGTCACGTATATATCTGTGGCGGTATATTATAGTAACGCGTACAAATTTGCAAATGCAGTGACGACGCATCCGAACGCACCTGTACAAAGATACACGGATGTATGCGTAGGCAAACGCTGTCAATGGATCGCGTTACAATCTTGTCACTCTCGTGTTAAATTTCTTTTCCTCTTCGTTTTCTCTTCAACGGGTTTTGATCTCGGGCAAGACGATGATGCAACGTATGGGAGTGCGAAATGAAAAATAACTCACGTACGCACCTGAAAACGTGCAAAATTCAAAAACAGGCTGCAATAGTCACGTCACGTAGACACATCGCGTAGGAGATCATTGTCACCTCGGTGACAATGATCTCCGATTTTCGGAAACATCATCGCGATTTGTCTTTAGTTTTAATATTGCTGAGTTGTTCGATTTGGCTATCTGGGTGTCTTTAATAGCTGATCGTAGATTTGCATAATTTGCGTCGAAAAAGTATATGATAATACTGATGATATAAATTTCAAATAAAAAACCTAAAAGGCAAATGGAAACATGAAAATATGAAAATATCGTATCTTTTATCACACGCTTATGATAATGATGTTTTTGGATCAAATAAAAACTTTATGTGCGTTGAAACCACTTGCAAAACTAGTAGTCCCCTTTATGTTAAAGTGAATAATATAAATAAAAATAAAAGAATTGCTCTTCATTAACATCAAAGAAAAATTTAAGTCGACGCAAGTCAAGTTTTTCTGTTGTAATTTCACGGCCAGTTCTTTCTATTCTTATTAACACATGTGATGTTTATTTTAAATAAAACGTACGAAAAAGGTCAGCTGCATCGAATCTCTCGCTATAATAACCCACGCATATCTTTTTTATCTCCGTTTAACGTTCGCAATATAATTCATAAGAGAATCGTGCATGTATACCGACACAAGAGAAAGATTCAATGGGCGATACGTAATACAAACATTGCTTCGTAACCGGCCATTATGACAGGTACAGCGACGACCCTGCTTGCGACTTAACGCGATATTGTGCCCAGATGCGTTAGGTGCATCTATCTCTTTGCGAAATAATAAATTGCGAACATAACCAGCCATTTACTTTAGTACACTTATTCCCTGTGGCCGCATGCTACATGGACATGCCGCCTTATCTTGGTAATCATTTCTGCGGAACAAGAACTACGGAGATATTTCTCTCAAGAACCGTCACGATTCTGATACAGTGCCGGTGCATCGCAAGAATCCAGATATTTCCTGTGACTTACTGTATATTTTTATTGTTCTGTATCTAAATCCACGAGTCACGAGCAACAGCGCGACAACAAAGATCTTTATTGGAGAAATAAAACTTTATATACCGGTTTTAGGAGACGGTAAGGAGCGATTTACGATTTATTTCGAATACGATGCGAAGGTAATTCGCAATATTTAATAATTTTATAAATAGAAACGAAAATGCGCCTTAAAGAGAGAAACAGAGAGAAACATTGAGAGAAACTCTTATTCGATCAACACTTCGTTTCCGGCGAAATTTCATTCACGTCACGTTCGAGGACTCTCTAAAGTCTCAAATTAAATCAGCTATACGTAAAATTGCAAGCGCGACTGTTAATTCATCTCTTAGTGTATCCGCGGAGGACGAAATACTCTACAGTTTGCACCGGTGCCGAGCAGAATTGCGTATCATACGGTCTCTATTCCCCGTGGAACGCAGGAGAACATCGTCGTCGTCTAGTAAACTCGAATGTGCCATCGACACGTGAGAAATTTTCCCGCGTCGTCCGACTTGACATCGCTGTCACTTATCGAACGTGTAAACTACCTGCCACTGTGTTTTCCGGCCAGGACAGTGCAATAACGGACTTCAACGGATTTCCCTAGGGCTTCCACGTTACGATATCTCTCACGGTAGAAACGATGAACTCCCCTCGCGGAGACTCCCGAAGACGACGCGTCGCATGCTTTGATCAACTTTATATATTACATCGGTTGCAGCGGTGCGAGCAAATGCACAGCGAATGCATTGTATTTACGAATAAGCAACTCGCCTTTCGAGAGCCGAAATCGTGGCGTCTCATCGACAGACGAATATCCACAGAACGTGTGAGTATCCGTGGGTGAGTTCAGGCCAGGTATCTCTCGAAAAAGATCACTCCTGCAACATGCTCCACAGCGACCGCGTG